AATTAGGGTTTAGTGTTGGAGATGAGAAGAGGAACGAAGATCTAATGAGAGAGAGAGAGATCGATTCGGATCAATCTCTGAGAATGAGGCACGAATCCTCACCGGTCTCTGAAATGGAATCTACCGACGATATGCACGAAGCGTTGTTCGCGAAGCGAGGTTGTTGTTTCCTTATGCCCTGCCTTGCCTCATCTCAGCCGTCCACTCGCGGCGGATCTGTGTGGTGGCAACGGATCAGGACCGTCGACAAACTCGAGCCAGACGAACGGTGGTGGATTCGAGGGTGGAGGAAGATGAGGGAGTGGTCGGAGATCGTCGCTGGACCTAGATGGAAAACTTTTATCCGCAGATTTGGACGCAACCACTGCTGCGGCGGAGGAGGTGGAAACAGCGGCGGAGGATGCGGTGCAATCCCTAATCGATCGGAACACGGTAAATTCCGGTACGATCCGTTGAGCTACTCTTTGAATTTCGACGACGGAAAGCAAACCGGACATTTTGACGACGAGTTTCCTTACAGAGATTACTCGATGAGGTTCGCTGCACCTTCCTTGCCGGTCTCCACTAAATGCTCCATCGATTTCGATAACGACAGTTACGCGCCGCCGCTTCATAACTGAAAAAACTCATCGGAGCCGTGGCTGCAGTCTAACGTGCGCTGAATTCGAGTGTGTAGCTGAGAGAGTGTTGACTTCTTCTGTTGAACATAAAATCAATCTTTTGCACATTTTTGCATTTCTATTTTAATAAAATTTTACCACTTTTTGTCATTCTTTTTTCGGCTGTTGCTCATGACCAATGTATTTCAAAGGAAATACTATTTTCTCATGAATAATTGTCATATCGTCTCTATATTAAAATTCTAGGTGTCATCCAAAAAAGGTTTTAAAGAATTTTTGAGGAAAATTATTAAATTTTTTTTAATAATGTGTAAATAATTAAACTAAATTTATATCACATATACAATATATAACTATTAAACAATATGGAAGCAAAAAATATATGGTAATTAATATGGAAGATTTTATTTAATAAATATAAATTATATGTGAGAATGTTTTATTTTCAATGACTATTAGATTTTTTTGACATGCGTTAAATACGGGATTAGAATATTCAAAAAAAAAAATTCATGATTTTTTATATACGGGAGAAATTAAAAATAACAAAGATATATCTCCAGTATAGATAAATATATTGATAAATATAATTTATCTTACAAAATTTAATTTGCATGATACTTAGACTAAATGCATAATTTTTTAGAAATGCCACTTTTCAAAATTGTCATCATTTTGAATTTTTTTTTTTTAAATGCCACTAATCCTCTATATAGTAATTGAATAGACATTTGGTGAAAAAATCATATGTATTATCCAACGAGGGTTTTAAAAAATATGTCATTTAAATTAACTAATGAAAATATTTTAATTAAAACTGTATGTTATGGTGGAAATCTTTATATATTTTTATTAATTTTATAACATAAATCCATTAATATATATTTTGCAGAGTTATGTTTAACTAAATATAATATTTAGACTTACTATATCATCTATTTATTTTTTTAAATTTGATATACTAAAAAACTTTTTATTATTATATTTGTAACAATATTATTTATTTGTAGATGATAACTACACTTACAAATATTTTTACATTTTATTATTAGAAAACATATTTTTTTTGTTACGTCCGACAAATTTATATAAATGTAAAATTTATTTGATTTATCGCATATTCTACTATTTATACAAATAATAAAACTCAATTTGACACTTCAAATAAATTGAAATAAATAATATTTGTGTTAGTTTTAATATTTTATGCAAAATTGATCAAAGCATATGATATTGAAATATGTTTAGTAAAAAATTAATTTTATTACATTGATGCACAATACATATCATTTTGTATGTTTATAAATATTAGAATAGACATCTAAATATTAAAATCAACTAGAAAATATATTTCAATCTTTAATTTCACGTTTGGCGTGGGTCAAAATCTAGTATATATAGAAAGTGAAATATAAGAAAAAACCTTTTTTGTTCTTGATGACTGAAAATAAACTATTTTTTAACCGTAAACATGCTTAATTACATGCTCTTTGTTCTGTGGTTTCAAATTAAACAAATGGCACATCAAGTATATATGAGCTACATTTTCAAAAGAATCCTAAGTATTTTTTTTAATCCAACTCAAACTCATTAATCAAAAAAAAATTTAGTATTTGGACCAGTAGTTTTAGTTACTTGTCGTGGTCCTCGTGGACGGAAATTTTGAAAAAATACGTTGAATCTATCATATTGAAACAAGTTTAAATCTATAAATAGTTTATGAAACTTGTATAATTTGAGTTCGATCCCTAAAATGAGCGTATATATTGGAAGCAAGTGTATATAGATCCGTTAGGGTTTTGCGGTTTGCAATTATATATATATCGGAATATAAAATGATTAAAAATTTACATAGACCATTCTTACACAATTACGTTTACGTGCAGGATGTTGGGATATCAATTCAAGTCCCACATCCAAAGTTTAGACAAGAATTGTCTAGTATATAAGTAATGTCCAACTCCAATTAGTATGAGGCGTTTTGGGAAGGAGCCCAAGAACAAATCCGTGCGGGTTTTGCCTCTGGACCCAAAGCGGACAATATCATACTAATGGGGGAGTTGGACATGGGCTTTAAAAGCTCCAATATTTGGTATCAGAGCCAGGGTTCAGAGAAGTGGGTTGGACATGTTCGTTGTGGGAGAAAAGCCCTCAAAAGGTGACCTCGCGAATAAGGATGCCAAGAGTACAAGCGGTACAAGAAGGGTACCAGGTTTCGCTAGAGGTAGAAGGCCACGAGTTTATGTGGTAATTGGTTTGAGGGAGAGATTGTTGGGATATCAATCCAAGTTTCACATCCAAAGTTTAGACAAGAATTGTCTAGTATATAAGTAATGTCCAACTCCAATTAGTATGAAGCCTTTTGGGAATGAGCCCAAGAACAAATCCGTGCGGGCTTTGCCTCTGGGCCCAAAGCGGACAATATCATACTAATGGGGGAGTTGGACATGGGCTTTAAAAGCCCCAATACACGAAACCAAAAGAAATGTATATCGGAATATTATTTATTCAATGTATTCACTATTCTCCTCACTTGACAATTTCTTTATGCTCGCAAAAAAGCTCACGCCAAACTTGTCTGGAGCAAATGCAGAGTGTTAGCGAGGGGGCATTTACCCACTATAAAAAAAATTTGGCTAATTTTTTAAAAAATTTTAAATATGTCCATGTTTGATATATTGTTTTGTGTCCCACTAGATATTTCTATGATGTTTGAACGCTTTTTATATTAAAAATATTTAGTAATTTTAAAATCTATCTCGGATGAAAACAATTTCTAGTTACGCCACTGAAGTTTCAAATCACATACGTACATTGATTTTAGAGATATTTTTTAACTTTATGATTGACTGGGTTTCAAAGATTTTTAGAGTAACAACAAATCTCTTGGTTGAAGCTTGAAGCCTTGAACGATATCTGTAACCTATTTCTGTATTTAATAAACTTATATATGTTGCAACTGTATTATTTTATGGGGTTCTACATCTATTTCGCAAGTTAATAATATCCCAACAAATTAAAATACTTATGGGGTTTTCTTAGAGATAATATTCGAAATGACGTCACTTAAAATAAAAATCTGTTATAAACCTATTTGAGAAAACAAGAGAAATTAAAGAATCTACTAGAAGGTTGAC